TACTAACATGTCACTAATATATTTTGGAGCGAGGCCATGGAGAGACTTGTAACAAGCAGAGCTCACATGCCGGTTTGTTTACAACAGCGGCCGCCTGGCGCTGGCCTACGTCGCAGGATAAGACGCACTACGTTGACAGAAATGTTTAAATTGAATATTACTTATGCACAATTTTACAGCATTTAAAAACGTTAAGAACATTTTTCATTCTACAGAAGGAAAAAGACGCATGCACCTCCGGAGCCGCAGGTTGCCGACTCCTAGTTTATACAGTATGTGGAAGCAAATACTGTAGAGGATCAGGATATGTGCAGTTTCAACAATAAAATAAAATGCAATAGTCTACATTAAAGAGAGTAATAAACATGTCTCAGAGTGAGGGAGGTGGACACAGACAACACTATTGTTTGTTACAGGGATGAGAATTGGTCAAAAAAGACTGAAATGCATAATGTCAGCCATTTGCTGGCTCTAAATCTGTTTAATTTGTTCACAACATATTACTTTTGGGCTCAAACATGAACTTTTAATGCAATGCAAAATGTAGGTATCAGAGCTTTATTTAGGGCGTTTAATCGCGCTTCGAGAGGAGAGGGGAGACGCGGACTGTTTCCTGCAGCAGTGTATTTATTGGGTTCACAGATTACTCAAAGACACGCATGGTCCTGTGCGCGTTTATGGGGTTGGGTACATGGCCACGTTGAGGCTGCGCGCTCAGCCACAACACGGTGGAGCGGCTGCGAGCAGCTGGACGCTCACAGCCTCTCGCAGCCGCATTACTAAGCGGCCGCAGATGCCCTAGAACACTGCGGCCGCTGAGGTGGCAGAATCCCGTTCGAGTACATACAGCAGGTGCCCCGCGGATACGCGCGCCCCCTCGAACAATTCTCAACGGATTTACACTTCTCATAAACATGTGTTTTGTATGAGGCAGAGAGACCGGCCCAAATATGGGCATTGCCCTTTGGGCATTGCCCGGTACGCCCGATGGCCAGTCCAGCCCTGTGCGCTGGCATCCTTGAGCTTGGACTACAAATTCGAAGTGATGCACAGTAGAGGAGAGCTGGGCCGAAGTGTTTTGTTAGACGCCCATGCCCTTAAATAGCAGTCCCGCTGCAAATACTGTGACGTAATAATTCTAAACACGTAATAGAGAATGGCAAAATCAGAACGGGTTGAAAAATCTTACCTAAACAGAATATGAAGTGTTCTCTGCAACCCATGAAGAGACTGATTTCAACTTTTTTGCACTTCTAGAGGCTCCAACTACACAACATAAGGCATTTAAGACACAAAAAGTGGATTTTTCATGGTATGTCCCCTTTAAGTTGTTGTGTGTATATGTATTTGTTTGAGAATCCCTTCCCACAAGTGAGGAGATTACCAACGAGTAGGGCTGGGCAATAAATCGAATTTTGGCAATTAATCGGCTTTTGAAAAAATCGAATTTGTGAAAAATGTGAAAATTGTGAAATCGAATGAGGGATATTGTGAGAGTTCCAGCAGCACATCGATTATACTTGCGATATCAGCACAGTCTGTACAAGACTTTTATAATATGTATTGGGGGAAACAAATAAAAAATAGTTTTGAAACTTAAATATTGAGAGGGAAGATAAAACCATTTTTAAGGGCAAAGTCTGTCTTGAGTGACTGAAATGAAAATCGATTTAAAATCGACATCGTCCAAAGCAGGAAATAAAATCGAGATTTTACTTTTTTGCCATATCGCCCAGCCCCACCAACGAGTAATGAATGAATGACCACTCGTCCCCAAACCTGGTCTCAGACGTACTTTGGACTTTGTAAATTGTTGATTTTGCTCTTTACTTTTGTTTTTAATAAATCTTTGATTGTATCAAGCCCTTGTTTCATTCATTTCTCTGTACACATGCATAAAAGGGGTTCAAAAGCAAAAGTTAGGATTTCCTTCCACATACTTTTACTTCTATTCACATTACGTGCATTATATTTGTCAGTAAATCCGTATAACTGGTCAATTTATGAACAAGGATGGAGACATTTACTAAATACAAAAAGGTTTTATTTTTGGTCAAAACACAAGGGCAAAATAAATGTTTAGGCATATGTTTTTTTTTATCATATATTACAATATTACAAATTACTTTTTCAATTCTCACTCCTTTTTTGAGTTGATACTTAGTTATTTAAAATATTGTAAATCTAAGTTATGTATTCGACTCGAAATAAAAACATTTCATTTCATTTCAAATGACAAAAGTGACCAATGTTACTAGTTACGCGTTGTGCGTAAATTACGTGGTCTGACAACCTCTCCCACGCAGAGGAGACTTGGAGGTACCATTTTTTATGGAAAAGCACTCACACTCAGCACTATGCACCTCGGTTTTCCTCTTCTAGTAATTTTATCTATTGCTTACCACAACTTTTTTGAATATCCCTTTGCTTTAAAGATAAGTTTTTAAATCTTATTAAAGAACTTCTCACCCCTTCTCCTCGAGGCTTACTTCACTCACCTTTCCTGATCAAATCTTTCTCCAAATGGGCTTAGCCTGGAGGACTAAAGGGGACAGGCAGGGGGGGGTGAATGTTGTGCGGGTCTAGGCTGTGATTGACACTTGACAATAAAAGCAATAGTGACAAAATCTACAATATTCAACAACAATGCTATTAACACCACACAATTATCTATAATACAAACAGCGATGCTAATAAAAACCTACCAAAATGCTATAACTAATCTAAAACCTGACAATCGCTAGGGGGGCATGAACGAGACTGGGCCGTTCACTGGGCCTTCACTGCAGACGTCAGCCTTCACTGCAGACGTCAGCCTTCACTGCAGACGTCAGCCTTCACTGCAGACGTCAGCCTTCACTGCAGACGTCAGTGTAACCCGCATTTCAGTTTAGTTTTATTGTTGCGGGTCAGCTTCCGCCACATCTGATGGTTTCCCTTATGATGCGCGCTCCCCCACTTGACGCTCTCCTCCGCTGTACCTGTGGCATGTCATAGCTGCGGGCTAGCGTTACAAACCTGCACAACTTTGTTATCGGAGCGTTTTTCCCTCTATCATAAAGGTGAGCCTTTCGCCAACTGTTCGGCATCATGCAAATTAAATGTCCATGTTGCAAACCGCATGATCAGTCGCTAATCTCTGCAAAATCTTTGTAGACTCCACGCTTCCATGTGGGCGCGTGTGGAGTAGCGTCAAAGCCCACGCAATTCAAGGTACGCTGTTTACTTTATTCATAAACAAGCCAACCCGAATTGTAGGCAGTAAGTTAATGTGTAGATAAATATCTTTGTTTACCGCAGTGAGTGTTTGTTAATACCGGTTAGACACTTTTGTTTGTAAATAACCGCAAATCCCCAGTGATGTCCGGATTGACAACACCTGATTATTGTAGCTACGTCAGAGACTCTAAAGTTTGTTGCGCAACACTTAGTTATCATGCAAATTATGTTCCCATGATAACTGAAACATTTAGAGAAGATAATTATTATTAGTGCACTATGATCCTGAATTGAAATACATAATTTATTGATTACCAAAGTGCGTTTGATGCACTGGAAATCACATTTTTGTTTGATCCCTTTTTGGATCTACACCCGTGAATTAATGATTCCACATACTTGTATGTGTATTATTTAATTGTACTACATTATGTAATGTATGCAGCTATCTTTTGAAATATTGACTATGTAAATGTAAATATTTATTGAAGTACTCTCATTGAAGTGTTTAAGCATTAGTGTATACTGAGACTTTTCTATTGATGAAATGTTGACATGTTAATTTAATTGAATGTGATTTGAAATTTGATGATTTAATCTGCAGTTTTAGATTGTAAATATCTTGTATCTTATAGATACATTGAAGTTAAGTTTAGTCAACTAAGAGCATTACATAGCTAACTCTTATTTTCCTAATATTCATTTGTCTTTTTCTGGCCTCTTGTCAGGTCCGGTTTTTTGTACTGAGCTGTTTCCACACCTCATCCTGATATCTCCCTGTCCCTGCCATGGACTCCTGGTAGGATAAAAGACTATCAATTAATTTTTTTCCTTTACGTCCAACGGACAATATTGGACTATCGTGGACTATTTTGGTTTCTTCTCTTCTCTCCCTTTGAATGGGAGCACGGACTCTAACACAGAGCGTGTGAATCGTGAGAACAGTATCGTTATCAGCGAGGTTGTGGCTGTCAGTATTGTAATATTGTTATTCTGTACAATTTTGTGTTATTTACTTTCTCCTTTTAATACAATACCAAACTCAAAACTCAATCAGTTGTTTTGTATCACTCACTCTACACCTCACAACCCAGGCTCCTTCCCGAACCAGTCTTTTGAATAGTACTCAGAGTTGAATCGCAGTCACATCTGGCCTAAACAACCTGTTGTTACATCAGCCTTCACTGCAGACGTCAGCCTTCATTGCAGACGTCAGCCTTCACTGCAGACGTCAGCCTTCACTGCAGACGTCAGCCTTCACTGCAGACGTCAGCCTTCACTGCAGACGTCAGCCTTCACTGCAGACGTCAGCCTTCACTGCAGACGTCAGCCTTCACTGCAGATGTCAGCCTTCACGGCTGTGCCAGTGTTGGCGCCAGATTCAAAATTCAAATGTAGTGAATACAGGTCGGCTGTAGATGGCGCCTCACTGACAATTTTAGGCAGAAAGTCGATCTTTCAACTAATTTGCACTAAAGTGACAAAGTTATGACCAGGATATGTACACAACACTATTGGACACTCATTTATACCGTTTATCTAAAAACTTGAGTGACTTTGTTTTGAAGTCCATTATATGCTGATCGATCGGTTATAAGTCCTGATTTTAACTGTTTCTTTTGAGCGGAGTCTCTTGTTCTCATCAGTTCTCCCACTAAACTTTATTTTTGTTACTTTTGAATATTTAGATATAATTTGCTGAACCACTCCTATAAAGTCAGGGGATAACATGTTCTGGTGTTGTTTGCATGTTGTTAGTGTGATGTTAGTGGGTTGTTTACCTGGGCTGCGTTGCCGTGGTCGCTCTGACAGGCCAACTCCTGTTCCACCTCGGACACCTCCATCAGAACTCGCTCTGACACCAGTCTGGACAGCTCTCCCACCACTGTCACATGTTTGGACACTGTCCCAGACATCTTCTTAAACTGAGGATAGGTCTCCACAAAGGCCTAAGGGACCAGGACCAGGATCAGAGAGAGACCAGAGGAGATACCAGAGGACAAACCAGAGGGGGAGACCAGAGAGGGACATTGGAGAGAGAGAGAGACCAGAAACAAACCAGAGAAAGAGACCAAAGAGTAACCAGAGACAGAGAGCAGAGGAGAACGAAATAGAATGTGCAACAGGGAAGTTACACAGTAGGCGTGAACAGCGCATACGCGTTTACTGCGCGTAACATTTTTTTGCAGTATCTACACAGGCCGTGCGCAGGTCGTTCTGATGCTGTCCCTGTGTAGTCTATGGAGCAGTGTAGAGGACAGTACAGAGACTGATGTAGAGCAACACAAATCACATGCATGTGTTTGTCTTCATGGTCTCTGTGCTGGTGTGGTCAGACGCCAGACTTTATGAAAGAAAAAAACGATGTCCAGAATCACTGTAAAACCTGCTGCTCCTCCTGCTGATGTTTAGACACAAGTGCTGTGTGTGTGTGTGTGTGTGTGTGTGTGTGTGTGTGTGTGTGTGTGTGTGTGTGTGTGTGTGTGTGTGTGTGTGTGTGTGTGTGTGTGTGATCTAGAGCCAAGGACCGCTAGAAAAATCATGTTTTATATGAGATTTCAAAATTAGAAATCCATCCTAAATTAGAGCGCAGCTTCGCGTCATACGTCCGTCATACATGCGTAGAAGTGTAAATATCATCATAGGTTAACATGGAAAAAAGCTACGTGCGTCTGCTGCGTGTATAACACGTACGTGCTGTAACGCGTGATGTGTAAATTAGCAGTAAGGTTACACGTGTGTGTGTGTGTGTGTGTGTGTGTCGAGACATGTGGGGACAGTACCTTCATGTCTGAGATAGACTCCAGCTTCTGTTGTCCTTTGGGTCGTTTCTTCTGAAAATCCTCCATCAGGTTTTTGATGTTTGTTCCAATTTCCCCAAAGTTCAGGTACAAGTTCTACACAAGAAACCGAAGAGTCAACTTTGACTGTGACCAGAGAGAGAGACCAGAGAGGGTGGCACGGTGGCTGAGTGGATAGCACTCTTGTTTCTCAGCAAGAAGGTTCTGGGTTCGAATTCCGGTCGGAACAGGGCCTTTCTGAGTGGAGTTTGCATGTTCTCCCCATGTCTGCGTAAGTTTCCTCCAGGTACTCCGGTTTCCCCTACCACTAAAACATGTACAATAGTTCTGGCATGCGCCTCCTGTACTGGCGACCCTGCTCCCATCTCTCTGTGGAGTGAGAGGACAGACTCTGGTCTGTGAAAGGTGGTATACAGTATATATATATAAAGATGACTTACTTACAGAGAGAAACCAGTGAGAGATACCAGTAAGACCCAGTGCGAGACCAGAAAGAGCAGGGTTTGTACAGTTTTTAAGTGTAAAATTCAAGCACATTTCAAGCACTCTCAAGGCAAAATGGGAACTTTTTCAAGGAACCAACAATAATAGACAGATATGAATAAAATTGGAGGCCACTTTGGCCCAAGAGAGCGTTGAGGTACAACTCCTGATATAACATGCTATGACCCTGGCTACATCTACAACCTGAGCCTCAGCCTGGAGAAGGTCCCTGTCCCTTGGTAGACCTCCTGTGTGATCTTGGTTCCTAAAACAGCAGACGCCAAGTAACCGGCTCACTACAGACCAGTCGCACTGACCTCCCACCTGATGAAGACCATGGAGCGGCTCATCCTCACCCATCTCCGCTCCGTGGTCAGCCCCACCCTGGACCCGCTGCAGTTCGCCTACAGGCCCAACATCGGAGTGAAGGGCGCCGTCATCTACTCACTGCAGTGGACGCTCTCCCACCTGGAGCCTGCCGGGAGCGCTGTGAGGGTCATGCTTTTTGACTTCTCCAGTGCTTTCAATTCAATTCAGTTCACTGTATTCTTGTATAGCCCTAAATCACAACAGCAGTCATCTCAGAGGACTTAACAGAACCCCTGAAATCGCCAACACATATCAGAGAATCAACAGTTAAGACACAAAAAATATAGAACACACAGGTATTGGTCTATAGGGAGACCAACATCCATGAATGTTTCAACACCATCAGACAGACACTGCTGAGGGAGAAAAGATCTGTACAAACCCTGAGAGAGGGACCAGACAGGGACCAGACAGGGACCAGACAGAGACCAGACAGAGACCGGAGAGATCTCCTCCTCACTCACATTGGCGTAGAACTCGTCACTCTCCGCGCTCAGCACCGCCTCCTTCAGGTCCTTGTTGACTCCTGCGACTCGCGACAGATCGATACGATTGTTGTTCAGCTCCAGGAGCTCGTGCACCATGGCCTGGTACGTCCACTACACAGACATAATTAAAGCTAAGGTACGTTTCTTTAAACAGACAATTTAAAGCTGGGGTACTTAACTTTCTGACCACACAAACTCTAATAAACCCATGTCTGTAGTTCCTGGCTCTTATCAGTTTTCTCCCATCACTAGTTTTCACATCATGTGCCTATGGCCTCTGTCACATCTCTAGATCAGCCATTTCAGACATAAAAGTGAAAAAGAGTGCTGATTGGGCTGAGAGCTGATTGGCTGAGTGAGGCCAAAGAGTCAAACAGTGACTCACCGGGCTCTTTCCCACGCAAAATGAAAATAAGATGAAGACAGCTTGTTGTGGTCTGATTTGTTCACAACATTTTATCTTTGAAGCCCCTGCCTGTGTGGCTTTCAGTGCTAACACCAGCCCCTGATTGGCTCTCAGTGCTAACACCGACCTGTGATTGGTTCTCACCTGGTTGAGCAGTGGCGTGATGGCGTCGTCGCTACGATCCAAGATCAGCAGCAGAGGAGGAACCTCTGTTTTCCGGAAGTCGAACAGTTCATATTCTTTAGTGATGATTTGCTGAAAACAAAAGTATTTATACCCCATAATATGTGTGTGTCTCTATTTGTGTGTGTGTCTCATTCTGTGTGTGTGAGTGTCTGCTTGTGTTACTTTCACGCTCTCTGCCAGCCTCTTGCTCAGCTCTGACGACAGCTGGTACCGGATCATAGGACACTTCTTTAGCGAAAGAAGAACCGCAGTGAGGCCTTGAGTGCAACGCTGCAACAGGGAGGGCTCCCAACTCCGGCCCTGAGGGGACAGAGGACAGTGGTGAGGGGACAAAGGACAGGGGACAGGGGTGAGGGGAGAGAGGTGAGGGGACTTACCCGGGACACGCCCACCAGGTTGAGGGAGAACAGGTGTGGGTTCAGGGCGATGAAGTCTCCGTAAAACTCCTGCACACAGAGGTCACACAGAGGTCACACATAGGTCACACAGAGGTCACATAGAGGTCACATAGAGGTCAGAGATCACACACACCTGGACCTCTGCCACCACTTCCTGTTCGTCCGCTTCGGCCAAAGCTTTGATCTCGCTCTTGCTGATGACGTTACTGAAAACTGACGGAAAACAAACACGGATTACAGGACATCACATCTACAGCTCTACAACGCCCCCCACAGGCCATCTGTATAACAACAGGAAATATCTCAGTAGAAGTAGTAGTAGCAGCAGTAGTCGTAGTAGCAGTAGTAACAGCAGTGATCATAGTAGTAGTAGCAGCAGAAACAGTAATAGTAGTAGTAGCAGCAGTAGCAGCAGTTGAAACAGGAGTAGTACTTGTACTCACAGATGAAGTACACACTGTACTTTGGTTTCCTCAACTCCTGAACCAACAGCTCCACATTTTCCTGAAACACGTTTTAGAATGTGAAGTTTATAACATGTGTCGCTGTGTGCTTTTCTCTTGTCTGTGTGTGTGTGTGTGTGTCTGCATCTTAACTTGTGCTGTGGGCTCCTCTTTCCTACTGTTCTATAACTTGTAATGCAACACTGAAATTTCCCCACTGTAGGACGAATAAAGGATCTCTTAATCTTAATCACCTGTGCTTGTGTGTATGTGTCTGCGCGTGTGTTCATACATGTGAGCGTTTGTGTATACCTTGGTAGGTCTCAGGTAGCACAGGGCCTTCAGGTGCTTCATGGGTTCTCGGTTCTGTGATTCAATTCGTTCAAACAGATAAACCTCCTTCTGCAGGATCTCCGACTGAGAGTACACCACACTCACCACGCTGGTCTGAGGAGGAGAGAGGGGGCGTGAGGAGGAGAGAGGGGGCGTGAGGAGGAGAGAGGGGGAGTGAGGAGGAGAGAGGGGGGGGGAGGAGGAGAGAGGGGCGTGAGGAGGAGAGAGGGGGCGTGAGGAGGAGAGAGGGGGCGTGAGGAGGAGAGAGAGGGCGTGAGGAGGAGAGAGGGGGCGTGAGGAGGAGAGAGGGGGCGTGAGGAGGAGAGAGGGAGCGTGAGGAGGAGAGAGGGAGCGTGAGGAGGAGAGAGGGGGCGTGAGGAGGAGAGAGGGGGCGTGAGGAGGAGAGAGGGGGCATGAGGAGGAGAGAGAGGGCGTGAGGAGGAGAGAGGGGGCGTGAGGAGGAGAGAGGGAGCGTGAGGAGGAGAGAGGGGGACATCTCCCCTGTAGAGAGCACACCCTCCTATGTCTCCCCCTTTTTCCATCATAGACAATACACTCCCTCTCTCCTCAGTATCCCAAACTGTGGTGTCCCTGCGTGTGAAAGCTAGATCCGAGCTTCGAAGATAGGCAGTACAGGGCCTGGTAAGCACTATGATGGGAGACCTAAAGGAAAACCAGGTGCTGCAGAAAGTCGATATACTGTATGAATAAAGTATACCTTGATCTTGACTTAACACCCACCTCGCCCCCGTAGACAGCACTAATATCTTACCCCTCTCCTCATGGTCAACCCTCTCGTGTCTCCCTGTCTCCCCCAGAACACCCCTCACCGTGTCCCGGTCCATCAGCAGCACCTTCATCCCGGTCCCACTGGTCTCAATCATCTTGGACACGTACTGTTTCACCGCGAGCGTCACGTTCATATTTGCGGATCACGAACTGCAGACAAAACCACTGAGAGAAGGACGAGATGGTAACAGAGATGGTAACAGGAGAACGGTACACCAGACACACGAGCACCCGAAAAGTGGGTACCCGTAGCACCAGAGACCCGACACACGCAGACCAGAGCTGTCTCTCTGTACGGATGTCAGTTCGGAGACTTCCTCCGCTGAATTCTGCTGCTTCTTCTCCCAAAACCCAAACACGGCTGCACTTCCTTCCGGTAACGTGACGTCATGGTCATCAGCTGATCATAGACATATGTCTATGATCAGCTGATCAAAATAAACCATGAACCAGGAAGTGTTTAATTATATTAGTGAGAAATAATATACGATTAAGACACAATTGCGCCCCGAAGCTACGTTTAAATATATACTTTAATGATACTGAATATTGAAATGGGGTTCAATAAACTATATAGATAAATAGCATGTAGTTTATAAAAGTCAAATTGTTGTGACAAATCACACCACAACATCTACATTAGAAAATGCGTTCTCTTTTGTGTAAAAAGACACCCGTGAGTCACTATTTGACTCTGAGAGCTGATTGGCTGAGATGTGACAGAGGCCAGTAATACATTATGTGAAAAACTTGTGATAAAAGCAAACTGTTTTAGAGCCACGGACTAGAGAGTTCTGTTGGTGTGGTCTGAAAGTTAAGCACCCCAGTTTTGAAGTTACGTACTTCGGCGTGAATGTTACGTACCCCAGCTTTCTTTTAGCTAACTAAGCTATATAATACTTGTTATTCTACACATGAATGCAGCATCACCAGCCGTTTCTTTGAACAATTCCGGCATAGATCCATGGCCCCGCACTCACAGCCTTCTTGGAACTATATGTTAGCAGTCGGGTTGCGTTAGCATGGTTAGCTTACAACAGTAGAATTCAGTCTAAAACACTATTTTGATGACGTAATAACGCATATTCTGCAATTTGCGGAAGTGGAACTGCGTTATCAGATGTTTGGCGCTTTTCCTCCACGGAGACAAAGTGTTTACGCATTTAATTCCATTAAGACTTGGGCCTTGGCGCGTGTATCCATCCGCCCACGGTTGCATACACAGCGGAGGGATACAACAGGCACAGCTACTGCTAAAGCTAAAGCTAAAGCTAACCTGTCACAAGCAGAAAACTCTCCACATCCGCTGATAAAAGTCACGATTCACGCGGAGAAAACACCGAGTTGGACCTGGAGCATCGTCCGAGGTGAGAACGCTGTCTGTGGGGGTTTGAGGCCGAGTTTATGCACTTTTGGGAGTCAGCTGCAGTTTATGCTAGCTCTCAGATGTGTGTGAATGTGTGTGTGCTAAGGTGGCTAACTGGAGCTAACAACAAGAAATCAGCTAAAAACATCAAAATAATGTAAACAAAAATAAACTGATGCAATTTTCGTTAGTGACACATAGATATGAAAGTTATAATATTGATTCCGTGTAATTATTTTGTAGTACGCGGGAGTTTTTGGAGGTTGTAGTTTGTAAGTTCAGTGATTCTATGAACTTAGCTTAGCATGCTAACTCTGCTGTAAGATTTTGAAGTTTACTGTTCAGATTTAAACGTTTATTCAAAGTTCTGAACAAAACCAGTTTATTGCACACACAATGCATTATTAAATGTTTTAAACTCGTGGAATTGCGATGTAATTTATGTAAAACATGGAGTAGCTCAACAGTAGCCTCTAACAGCCTGAAGTTTAAAGCGAGAGGTCCATTATAAGTGCATCAGGTTTGGTCACATTTTTATTATACAATTGTACTTCCTGCTTGCAAATTAAAACTTCATTAAATAGTTGCGACCAAACTGCCTGAACTCCAGTGAGAGTTCAGGCAAACTAATTGGCAACAATATTCTAATACGACAGTGGCTCAGTTGGTAGAGCATTTGTCTTTGGGCCTGAAGGTCGTGGGTTTGAGTCCACCACAAGACCTACTTCACAACTCCCACTGATGACTGCTGTCATTGTGTTCTTTGGCAAGACACTCAACCCCACTTTGCCTGAAGTCCCCGCTGTAAGATCAAGGCTTCTGTGGACTCACCACCTGCAGGAGGATCAGTGATGGTGCTCTGTGTACTGGTGCTCTGTGTACTGGTGCTCTGTGTACTGGTGCTCTGTGTACTGGTGCTCTGTGTACTGGTGCTCTGTGTACTGGTGCTCTGTGTACTGGTGCTCTGTGTACTGGTGCTCTGTGTACTGGGTGCAGCTCTGGCTGCCACCCCCCCCCCCCCCCCGACCCATAAATAGATTAAGGGGAAGAAAATGGATGGATGGATACTGCATGAATGTGGTTATTGTGGCATTTGCAGATGGAGCAGGGCGAGCCTCCAGGGGGCGCTGTGGAAACACTGGTATTAAACTCAGACATCAAAGAAAACAACGGTAAACTGACATTTTGTTGTGGGAGCATTGATGTATTATAGTGAATAAAATGACAAAAGGTGCAGAGGTCCGTGATCGTGTCCCAGCAGAAGAAGCAATGTTTTATTGTTGATTCAACAGCATAAAATGACAGAGTTGCAACTGGTTCACATGGTTTTAGGCCACAAGATATGTTGGGTTTGATGACCATTAGACCAAAACATGAAATGGAAAATCACTTACTTCTGCAGATTGCTGTAATGACTAGGTTAGTCAGAATCAGAATCTTTTACTTTGGCTCTCCGTGCAAACAAGTTAAAGCAAAATCAAAAAGGCATGCATAAATGAAAATCTACACACATTTCTTCAGTTTACTATACAAGTGCACTAGGTGCACCCAGTGTGTTAACATAGTGTTAACACAATTGCACCAAATGTCTCATAAAATATCCATATTAGTATTTAGGGACAACAAAGTTTCTTATCTGGAGAGGGTTGCTGCTTTTGCTGTTCGTTAGCCTGGTGGTGACATCCTAAGCTGTCAGGGAAGTTCGAACCTAAGACCACCGGGGCTTAAAGGAGCTATACCTGTTTCTGCAAGGTTTGAATGTTTAGCACCGCTTTCCCCTACGCTTTCCTGCCACGGAGCCCTCTAGTTTTATTTGCCATCTGATACATATGCAAACATTAGCATGAGCGCAACTTCTTATAAACTGTACAAATATCACTGATGAAATGGTCCAAAAGCAACGCACTGCTAACAAAATATTCAACTGAAAGATTACTGAAAGTTTTGCGTCCAAATGTAGTCTAAGGCGGTCCCGCACCCGCAGGTCTCCCATAGACTGTAAGTCTCTCCGGAGGATACAATGTAAGTTAGCTATGTTCACCCGGGCTTGATTTCTTCTTTGATCATTTTTTCGCTTTAGTTCCCTCTTCACTTCCTCACGGTAGCATTGTTTGGGCTGTTTTGCTGTGTCTACAGTTGCAGCCAGAGCAGGTATCGCCACTTTCTACCTCTATTCTGCTCTTGTTTACCAGCGCTGTAGAAGCTAGAGGACGCAGCCTGTTTGTTCTGTGATTGGTGGAGAACAAGCGTCACGCCAAGTCTCATCACTTTTTACGGCCTGAATTCATACACAAGCTGAATCAATGAGCTCACGTTCTTAATTATTTTACGGATGTAGTAATAAGCATTTTTGTTAACTCATTAGAAAAAAAATCGGGTATAGCTTCTTTAAGTGGGAGACATTTGTCAAATACTTTTTAAACTGAAAAATCACAACAAAGTCAGACAACTGTGACGTGAAAGCCAAATTAAACATAATCTTATTTTCGAAAAAAGATTCATGACTGAAACTTGGGTCTCGCATAGATAATTAGTAGGCCAGGAGAAAGGCCATGGAACACACACTGCAAATTTACCAAGACGTGGCTGTCCACTTAAACTCACAAGAATGAGGAAGAGACTTGATCGGATGCAGACAAGTGGCCCATGGTTACTCTGATATTTTTTTAACGTTTGATTTGTCTTTGAAAGCAGGTCCTATCCAGAGTCCTGGTCCAACCAACGTCCAGACCCAAAACCAGACTGCAGACCTAGTCCAGACTTCAGTTACGTCATCTTGTCAGTCCACGGTGGTCAGCGTCTCAGCCGTCGACTTGTTTAAGGCCCAAAACTTGATCGAGATCCCCTCTGAGACTCCAGGGCCCAGTTCAGTAAGGGTCCTGACCCAAGAACCCAATCCAGAGCAGAGGCCTGACCAGGAACCGGAGCAAAAACTAGAGCAGAAACTGGGTGAAAGACTGGAACAGGAACCCAACCAGAAACCATCTCTGGTCCAGAATAACAGAGACATGAGTCCTGATTCTCTCCAGATCAAACCTTCCTCAGACCAGAGTCCGGTCCAGACTCCCTCTCAGTCCATTGTGGTCCGTGTTTCGGCCATGGCCCTTTTTCAGGCTCTGGCCAAAAACCCGGGTCAGAACCAGGTCCGAATCCCGCTGGTCCAGACCATGGCTGAAGTCCATAACCAGACTGGGTCTCAGCCCAGGACCCAGGGACCCAATGCAGCTGTGGTCTTGTCCCCGCATCCTGGACCTGATGTGGTGCTAGGTGCAGGTCTGTTTCCTAATCCCGGTCTGGTGTCTGGTCCTGGTCCGGTCCCAGGTCGAGGTCCCAGTTTGGTCAGAGTCCGAGGTCCTGGTCTTGGTTCAGGTCTGGTTCGAGTACGAGGTCCTGGTTTAGGTTCAGGTGTGTTCCGAGGTCCTGGTCCAGTCCAGAGGCAACTTAGATTCAGATTTCCAGGGATTGTTCAGATTCGGCCAAGGATCCTCACACCAACCAAAGTCCAAGCTCCGGTCTCTGTTCCGGTTCTGGACTCACAGCTGCAAACCAAGAACCGAGACCAGCACCCAGACCAAGAGTCTGACCAGGATCCAGATCTCATCCCAATCCCACTGCCTCCTGAAGCAGTGCGCCCGCTCAGCCCATCTCCCATCATCACGCCCCTAAAGGTAAATAAGCGGTTTTAACTGGAAACGATTGAAGGACAGCAGATAAGAGCTTTTCAGTTTATTTTTATGTGTTTGTGCAGCCGTCGGTGCCTCCTCGAGGATTCAGACTGAACGGAAGACTCATCCCCCTGCTGCCCGGAAGTATGCACTGCAACCACTGCTACTGTATCCACTACGACTACTACAACTATTACTCCTGCTACTACTTCTACTGCAACCACTGCTACTGTATCCACTACGACTACTACAACTATTACTCCTGCTACTACTTCTACTGCAACCACTGCTGCTACTACTACTGCAACCACTGCTGATACTACTACTGCAACCACTGCTGCTACTACTACTACCACTGCAACATTACACCTGAATTTTTCCTCCGGGGACCAATTAAGTATCCATCTATCTACTGCTACTTCTACTGCTTCTGCTGGTCATATATCGACTTGACCCTTTTTGTCTCCTCCAGTGGACGGTGTGGTAGTCTTTCTTCGCTCTCGTCCCCGTGGTTCTCAGTCTGGTCTGACGTCGCTTTGCGTAATGGACGCCCCACCCACCAGGAAGAGGCGTGTCCCCCGCATTAACAGCATGCAAGCCCCGCCCCCCAAGAGAAGAAATCCTCCCCCTAGCAAAAAAGTTCGACCCCCCAGGAAAAGAAAAGCCTCAAAGTCCGTACCCGGCACAGGTAAGCCCCTCCCACTGCTGCTGTAGAAAAGATATTTTATGAACACTCTTCTGATGTCAGGTGTCTTTCGTTACAGGAGCGATGGTAACTCCGCCCCCTGTTCCTTTTGTACCTCTGAAACCCCGCCCACAGGAGTGCAAAGTCCCCACGCTGCTTCAGAAAGGTACAGGACACAACAGACCTTACATTACAATACAATACACAATACAATTTATTCTTGTATAGCCCTAGGTCACAACAGAAGTCTTCTCAGAGGACTTAACAAAACCATTGAAATCACCAACACAGGTCAGAGAGCCTTTTCAAAAATGTCTGAAAATGGAGTGTGAGGGCTATATTTTATTTCTAGTTTGAATGTGGTTTCTGTAGAAGTAAAAACATTCTTTACGTTTTTAAATGCTGTAAAAATATGTATAAGTAATATTTAATTTCAACATTTCTGTCAACGTAGTGAGTCATATCCTATGACACACGGTCACGCGGCCCCGCCCCATGCGGCCGCTGCTGTAAACAAACCGGCGTGTGTGCATCATAGACTGTAAGTGCACATGGATCCCAAAGCTAAAACGAGAAAGAGTCGATAACAAGACTGGACTAAGAATGAGAATGAACATTTTCTTTCAGTCAATGAGGAAGGACTGCTTCATGTTTGTAATGAAACGTTTTGTTGCAACACGAGGAACAATGACGCGCAAAACGACGTAAACGGTGATTACGTGAAGGATTCATTCATCAAAAATTCAGAGCACCTATTTTCAGACTTCAAAACCTTCTCAAAGACGGTGAAAGAAAAGGCCATTAAGGATTTTAATTCAGCTCCAGCAAACTTCAGCCTGTGACGTGATGGATATGAGCAGACAGTGATGCAGGTATGTGACCTCTGAGCCCAAAGCAGATGCATTTACTGTATTTCTACAATTGCATGAAGGCAAAAAAATGGAAGTTAAACTAAAGCAGAGTTGTCCCGTGTTGCGTCATTCACGACACGCGTGGTGCGACACGCTGCAGTGAAAATACACATTTGATAATCATGAATGATTATTATGTATTTGTAGCCTTTACTTTGTCATTTAGATATTAGGCTAATATAGCTAATACATCTTGCAGCCTGTGTTAACTTCATAAAAGCCTTATACAAGGCTGTTATTTTTTTGCGGCTCCAGACAGATGTTGTTTTTAGTTTTTTTGTCAATTATGGCTCTTTGAACATTTTGGGTTCCCGACCCCTGGTCTAGGACCTAAGCTAGCTACAGAACGTGGACCAGTGGCCGCTGAACGTGGACAGGTCCGGTGCAGGACTGAAGCACTCCCAGGCGGGTCGGGCGGGGCAGTCCGCAGGTGTAGATGGAGGAGGCCAGGCTCAGAGATCCCGTCATCGTACCATGAAACAGACAATAGGACAACGGGTGAATAGCAATAAACAAACTACAGTCAAAATCCTAATAATGCTAAACAGATAAAGTAGGAAGGAGGAGAGGATAGTGCTCAAGTTACCATACTTCTCCAGGAAACTGACTCCCTATGCAGCTTGACTGACAGTTTGAGGAGTTTAGCCTTCCCTGAGTCTTACCTTCCTAGCCATATGCTAAACTAAAGAGGACTGTTTTAAACCTAGCCTTGAATAAAGAGAGCGTATCTGAAAGGAGGCGAGACAGCAGCAGCCACGGCTAGGCTAGTCTAGGTTACAGCACCAAGATTCATGGATTGCACACCAGGTGTGCAAACTGATCCAGGCAGACCTAATTATGTATTATATACACTATATATATTATATGGATTATATATATAATACATAACATAACATACAGCATAATATATAACATAATATACAACATAGGGGCGACAGTAGCTCAGTTGGTAGAGCATTGGTCTTTGGGCCTGAAGGTCGTGGGTTCGAGACCACCATAAGACGTCCTTCACGACTCCCACTGATGACTGCTGTCGTTGTGTCCTTGGGCAAGACACTTAACCCCACTTTGCCTGAAGCTCCCACTGAAAGATCTCAGCTCCTGTGGACTCACCACCTGCAGAGGATCAGTGAGGGGCTGGTGCTATGTGTACTGGGTACAGCTCTGACTGCCACCCCCCTGACCCAGAAATGGATTAAGGGGAAGAAAATGGATGGATGGATGGATATACAACATAACACAATACACAACATAATACATATGTTGTATAATATATAACATAATACAGCATATATATATAATATATATACACCATATATTATATATTACCTAATTATATGCTAAATTAAAGTAGAGTGTTTTAAGAGTGTTTTACAATGTTAGGGGCGCTCTTCTCCTTTTGAGATAATCCACCCTGTCACACATTAGACAGGATATTTAATCCTGGTGTTCAGTGTCAGTGTTAACAAAGGCAACAAATAAAAGACGAGACAAAAATGAGCACCAACAAAAATCAGACAGAATGAGAAGCAGGACCAGAGCCAATCGTAGCATGTTGTACCTAACAAAATGTAATCTGTTCCAACACAGGGGTCTCCAACCTTTTTCTATCAGAAAGCCACTTTTTTTTTTTTTACATCAGAAGAGGCAGTTATAATACAAATCTATGTAATAATTATCTATGATCCTATACCCGTTTCTGCAAGGTTTTTTTTCAGTTTTAATGTTTAGCACCTCCCCCCAATTACCTCACAGGCTTCTCATTTTGAGAAACCCTCCTACTCTCGCCAACACTCTCTCCCACGTAGCCGTCTAGTTTTGGTAGCGATCTGATGGGTATGCTAACATTAGCATTAGCACAACTTCTCATAAGCTGTACAACAATCACTGATGAAATGGGACTAAAGCAACTCACTGCTAACCAAATATACAGTACAATAACTGAAAAATTACCTATCAAGTAGAATAACCGCAATTTTCTCGTCCAAATTTAGTCTGAGGTAGTCACACAGGTTTGTCCAGCGAGGATACGATGTAAGCTACCTATATTCACCCAGGTGATTTCTTCTTCCATATTTTTTTCGCTTTAGTTCCCTCTTCACTTGGGTCTTTTGGGCTGTTTTGCTGTGTCTGCAGTTACAGCCAGAGGAGGTATAGCCACTTTCTGCGTTGATCCTCCTTCCTGTTCTTGTTTAAAGTAGTACTAGAATTTAATATGCTGCTATCCAGAATATATAACTACAATATGTTTTTATAATATTTTGAGTGTTCATTTTGACATGTTCAGATGAATTATGTTAAAAAAACGGCTTTGAAGTGGCACCTTTTAAAAAAACGCTAGGGGGAGCCAAAATGGCGGCGATGACGTAGGAGAATGACCTCTCACAGCAGCAGCAGCAGTCTGGACTGAATCTGTAGGAGGTTTCACTGTCATCTGAACAAGGTATAAACATATTTTCATCAGTTTTGTACATAATAGTGTGCAACTCTTTTAACCTTTTAGCCTTATTTGTGAGATTCAAGCAAACTAGTGTTGGGCAAGTTAGCTAACTCTACTTGATATCATAAAACACGCTAACAAGGCTAATATTGGTTTTTACATTATGCCAGTCTCACTTTGGTTTCCTTAGATTTATTTACCACAATGTACATTGTAATATTCAAAAATGCTAACACCTATTAACGGTTTAATTAGCATTTTTATCAATGATTGCATCACATGTAGTCTATGTTTTCAACTTCTGCAGCTTTTTGTTCATAAAAGTAAAATATTTATTCAAAGCTGCACTAACTGACTTTGGGATTTTGAAGCCGCGGACTCGCTGGCCTCTCTCTTTCTGCTCCCCTCCCCGCACCCACGAAGCTATCGCCCCCCCACAGACACCCACTGTTGGGACGGAGCTAGTGTCTCCCAATATGGATAATACATGCATATGGATTTGCACGTGGATGGCGTGACCATAGAACGATAGAACCGGGAAGAGCGGAGGAACAGGACTTTCTTTTGGATGGCTGTCTTGCTGTGTAAGCAGTAACCGGTGACGAAGACGAGGAAGCTTCAGGTTAGCTCCTGAAAGTGGGGGCTAGTGGTCCGGTGTGATTGGTCACAATCTGCGACCCGAAACACATCTCTTCCTTGTTTCATAAAAACTCGATCTAAAATACGCCAGCACAAACCTGCACTACTTTTTCTTCAAAAGGACGTATATCCCAATGCCCTACATGGACATGGATAGCACTTTCGTAATGAATACAAAAATAAAGTCAGTTAGTGCAGCTTTAATTCAAGTTATTTTGATTAGCATTTATGGATATTACAATGTACATTGTGGTAAATAAATCTAAGGCAACCAAAGTGAGACTGGCATAATGTAAAAACTAATATTAGCCTTGTTAGCATGTTTTATGATATCAAGTAGAGTTAGCTAACTTGCCCAACACTAATTAGCTTGAATCTCACAAATAAGGCTAAAAGGTTAAAAGAGTTGCACACTATTATGTACAAAACTGATGAAAATATGTTTATACCTTGTTCAGATGACATTGAAACCTCCTACAGATTCAGCCCAGACTGCTGCTGCTGCTGTGAGAGGGCCTTCTCCTACGTCATCGCCGCCATTTTGGCTCCCCTAGCGTTTCTATGCGGAAGTGAAAAGGTGACGTTTTTTTTACATAATTCATCTGAAAATGTCAAAATGAACACCCAAAATATTATAAACACATATTGTACTCGGGGCGGCAGTAGCTCAGTTGGTAGAGCATTGGCCTTTGGGCCTGGAGGTCGTGAGTTCGATTCCCACCATGGGACCTACTCCAACTGCTCCCACTGATGACTGCTGTCGTTGTGTCCTTGGGCAAGACACTTAACCCCACATTGCCTGAAGCCCCCCGCTGAAAGATCAAGGCTGTTTCACAATTGACGGAGCAGCCATCTTCCTGTGGACTCACCCCCTGCAGAAGATCAGCGAGGGACTGGTGCTATGAGCGTTGGGTGGCAGCTCTCATTGCCACCCCCCGACCCAGAAATGGACAAAGGGGTTGAAAATGAAATGAAATGAAATGAAATATTGTAGTTATATATTCTGGATAGCAGCATATTCAATTCTAGTACTACTGGGCATGGGCTAGAAGAGGCTGTTAAATTAAGTTAAAGACCTTATGACGGGTTTTTAAAAAAAAAATAGTGGATATCAAAATTGCATGACAATGTCAATTTGAAAGAGATTCCGGCAAAAAAAAATCCTATATTTTATAAAAAGAACGTGTTTTTCATGAATTTAAGCTGTCTATGCTCTAACCTGTGTGTGACGTCACAGCGGGTAACGCCCATGCATTGAAAACCATGGATCTATGCCACAGGACTGCCTTTACTCTCTTCTC